GTATGTATGTATGTATGTATGTATGTATGTATGTATGTATGTATGTACAGACACTTAATAGCAGATCTCAGGTCTGCTATTTTCTTTTTTAGTAAAAATGAATAAAGGGACCGCTCACATGTAGTAAGTAGTGAGAAACAAGAATAAGCTACAGGAGTTGGTCCTTCAGAGAGTGAAGCTACAGCTGGTGAATGAGTGATGAAGTTGACCAAGACAATGGGCCTTTGGTGGGGGCTGTGACTTCCCCTGGTTGCTGGAATCAATCATGCAGTCAGGCTGTTGTATTGTCTGGATGGAGTCTTGTTAGTCTGTTATATACTGGGAAACATATTAGGCAAGATGAGCAGTAGAGCTTCTCAAAAAATGGATATGGAGAAATATATAGGTATCAAGCCATTTTATTCATTTAAAAAGGTCAGGATATCTTTATACTGCCACAATGTCGTAAGATCATCTATATTTCTCAAATAGAAACAGATGCTCTGATTCCTGCTTGGGGTGGTGACTGTTAGTGTTGCCTTGCGTAGATAGTTTGTAGCAAGATAGGAGAAAGTCTAGTCTGAATGCCATCATGGAGTTTGTTTGACAAGACTTTACTTTTTTAAAATCCAATCTTACTTATTTAATTAGAATCTTAATCTGATCCTTTCTTTTCATAGCAGAATGAAGGATGGTTGTCCCATGGGGAGAAGCTGCAAGCAAGCAAGCCTTTGCTCCTTAATTATCACTTCCTGCCTTTAATCTTCAGGCTGTGGCTGTCCTGTGGTAGTGCTGTTGACAGAGGAGGCTCTGGCCTCCAGGATACCTCCATCTCCCTTGGTCTCACTTTCCAAAGCCAAAGTCTTTCAGGAAGCCCAGTTTCTCCTGTGCAGCTTCTGAACATAGCTATGGTTTCAGTCCAGGATCTCCCCGCATACGGTTGTAGAGACTTGAGAATGTACTCAGGTTCACTGTTTGCTTCTCAAGCCAGCAGTGAACTAACTCACCTCTTCATTTAGACTCATTTTTTTAAATCTTTGTCTTATTCCAAAATATTTCCAGCATGAATATGATATTCTGCATGTCTCTTGCCATTGCTTCTGAAAGTAGATTTTGGAGAAATAGTAGCATCTTCATGCCACTTTCTTGTTGAAGGGTACCCTGACTTGAGAAGCAAACCATACCTCAAGAGATGCTGTGACAATGTGTGGATTTACGATGATGTCTCCATGACTGGACTTTGTTAGTGTAAGATCTTATTAGCATTCATACAGTATGCTAAAATTAATAGAGATAAATATAAAATATTACAATTTAGTGATTTGATGGCAAGCACACTTCTGTAGTCAAAGTGTTCCAGCTGGGTTTTTGATAGCTCACTGGAGGGCTGTTACAGTGACAGCAGGGTATGGTGCCAGAGATTTTGGAAGCCAACACCAGGCTTCCCAACACCAGGAAAATGTCAGTGTTTTATGCAAAGAGAAGCTTGACACAAGTGAGACTATTTCTGTGCATAGAGGCTGGCTTCAGTGCTGCTGTCTGCTTTGCATGACTTACTTTTGATGTCCTAAGTATCGACTCTGCACCTCCCTAACTGCTGCAGGCATCAGATGTGTAGTCACAGTGATTACATAATCCTGCTCTTTGCCAAAGGGCATTCAAGAAATAGCATCCTGGAATCATAGACTTGTGGGAAACCTTTTGAACTGGGAACAATAATAGGTGTCCAGTGCATTTCATAAAGGTGAGTAGCAAATAAAAATGTATAAGCACTTGCCCATAATAATGATATCAGTATCGTCGTTACCTCACCATGATGGGTCCTTTCCTGCTATCAATTTTTCCTATAGGGAAATTCTTGCATCATTTCTTCCTACAGTACATTCCTTCCTCCCTGTTGTTCTGTTTGTCTTCGTTAAGGTGTTTGTGTTCCATCATGTCTCTTGCTGCTGATGTTGCTGCTTCATGAGAGTGTTTACTTGCCTACCTGGGTTAATTGCTTAATAAGTCCTTCCATACACATTTCTGTGGATGAAGAGATCTCTTCCCCGATGTTAAACGTCAATTATTCCGAGATCAAGAAAAAAGATGACAGAAATATAATTGACATGGCTACTGAAATAGAATTTGTTCCTTTACTTAAACACGATTAACACCCAACTGTGGGTCACGCATACTCATTTTCTGCTGTTTATTGCCCATGTATAATAATGTAGGTGAAGTTCTGTATAAGATATGCAGAAATTGGTATGGTGATCATTAGCAGATTCGTATTTTCATAGCTACTTTCTTTTAAAAGTCCCTTTCCTCTTCAGGTCAGTTATTTTCATTGGCCTTTTTGTGACCTGATTTCACCCCTCAGTGGCCCCTGTAAGTGTACCTGCAATCTGAACTACCAGGAGTCTCAGACAAGTCTGTTTTGCTTCTGTAGAAAGGAAGTTTTAAAAAGCCTTGTGAATTTCGAAAGCTATATAGCTTTCTGTAATCTGGTTTTATTGCTTCTCTGTGAACTGGGTGCTTTTCTTTGCTCTTTTCTCCCTGAATGTAACCTTTACATTGAACTGACAAGAGTTAAACTATCAAGAAACTGGTGTGCTTGAGCCAGTGAGCACTGGCTTTGCTGTTCTTGCATTCTCTTTTCCTGCACTTTTGTTGTTTTCTATCTGTAGTTAGTGGCCCGTATTTATATTCACACGTGTATGAATTTATGCATTTATCAACTGCGTGTAATGCTTTTATCTGAACTGTTCACAGTGTGTATGGTGTGATGAGACTTAACCAGTACACAAAGGGATGTACATGTGTCATCAGCCACAGAGAAGGGCATGTTCTACAGCTGCTCTCCTGGGCATCTTCCTTGGAGTTTTCATGGCAGATTTTGAGCTGTATCCATTTCTTTAGAGAATGAGTGTGCGCCTGGCATTGCATATGCCCGCCCTATGTTCTTTTGGCTGTGGTTCCCTTATTTGTGCTCTTCCCAAAGGTTTACCAATTAATTTTAAAATAATTTTTTAGATTGTTTTATATATATGGGTATTTTGTCTGCTGTGTGTGTGCTACTTGTGTGCCTGGTGCCCAAGGAGATCAGAAGAGGGCATCAGATCTCCCCGAACTGGAGTTATGGATGGTTGTGAGCGATCATGTAAATGTCGGAAACTAAACTGGAGCCCTCTGGAAAAGCAATGGGTACTCTTGACCATTGAGACAGCACTCCAGCCCAGTAAAAAATTATTTATCAATTTTTAACTATCTGGCCAGTGTCTTATTACCACGACTTGCCTCTGTGTTGAGCCTTTCATTCCCGGGTTCTTGCCTTGCATCCCTTGGTGAGTGTCTGTGCTAAGCTGTGCCATCTCTCTGCCTGGTGGACTCGTGGGCTCACATACTATCAATGCTGACAATTTCACAGGCTTTTTTTTTTTTTTTTGAAGACAGGGTTTCTCTGTGTCATAGCCCTGGCCGTCCTGGCCTCACTTTGTAGACTAGACTGGCCTCAAACTCACAGAGATCTGCCTGCCTCTGCCTCCCAAGTGCTGGGATTAAAGGTGTGCACCACCACTGCCTGACTAGCCATATTTCTTATGTCTTCATCTTATGCTTTATATCCTTTGTCTCCATGATCCCCGTGGAACATACTTGTTGCCTCTATTGTGGCCTGTACCCTCTCTGTTTTCCCCATCACCATCTGTGTGCCTCAGTTTTCCTCCTCTAAGTCATGGTCCTCCTAGTCCACTGAGGAATAAAGTATACACTGACTCTGTTCTACCGCCAGTACAACTTACCAACCTTTGTTTTCCTTCTCTATGTTTCCAAATTTCTTAAAAGAATAAAAAAAAAAAAAAAAAAAAAAAAAAAAAGGATACTAACAAGGTGCATATGTTAATGTACTCAAACCCACTACAGTTACATTCTGGTTTCTGTCCCTCTGTCCATGAACATTATCATAGGTACTTTGCCATCATTGACACCTCTATAGCAGTCAACAATGTCAGCTAAGATATTTCTTAGAAACTGTTCTTCTTAGCTGTTTTGTCACTATAGCCTCTTGTCTGTAATTGTTGTTTTCCCCCTCCTTTTTTTCTGTGTTAGTGATCTAATCTGGGGCTTCACACAGGCCAGGCATGGACTCTTCTACCAAGCTACATCCCCAGCTCACCTTTTCTTTTATAGTGACATCATTCTTTTTCTGTCTTCCAGTTGTAACTACTCATCAGGATTCTTACAGCTTTGTCCTCCCTACTTATCTCCTAATGACTCTTTCTCTTCCTGTGGTTTCAAATCCCCTCTAATTGTGAGGCTCTCCAAAGTCTGCATTCACATTCAGCCCTTCTCCTGAGATTTCCTGATGCTGGAGTCTACCAAAGTGGCTGAATCTCACACTCTAAGCAGAAAAAGTAGAATCCACTACTGTTTCTTTGACAAACTAGATTTTTCTTCTTACATTCCCTTTTCATTTATTCTTGACACAATTATTATAGTTACTCCAACTTAAAACTTTTGAATATCTCGGTCTCTGCTCTCCCTTCATTCTCTTGTGGATTTTTATCTCCACTGTTGTTCTCTACTGAACCATTTCTCTTTTTCATTAACTTTAAGAATCTTGATAAACGATTTCTTCTTTTCATTGACTTTAAAGAACCTTAACATTGTAAGTTCAGTATCTTGTTCAAAGTGGGAGCTCCCTCCCTCTGTGCTAGAAAATGAAGCATGGCTATTCTAAGGCAAGCATGGCAATTGCATTGTCTATGGATATGGGTTGGTTTAGAGATGGGCATATGATCCAGTTCTGAGTGATGCTACATAAAGAGATATCAGTTAGAAAGATTTCTGGAAGGATTGTGCTCCTGTGAGTACAAAGCTCAGAGGGAAATCTCACCCTCTGCTTCTTGCCTTGACTGTCTCTATTTTGGAGCCTTTGGACCAGTGAAGTGAGAAGTACAAGGACAGAGAGCCAGTAAGCTGAGGAGGATAACAGAGGGGAAAAGACAGGAGCCTGTGTCTTCTCTGATGCTTTGGAGACACTACAGTGCTGTTTGGAGATATTCATGTACAAGGTAATTAAATGATTAAATGTCTTTATTTTTTTAATCACAGTTAATGTTCATACTGATCCTTGTAACTGAACTGAATATTGATAAATTTCCAAAATCCCTGTCATATTTTTCTCCCCAAGAGAGGGTTTTTCTGTGTAGCCCTGGCTATCCTAGAACTCTTTGTGCCTAAGTGCTGGGATTAAAGGTGTGCGCCACCACTGCCCAGGTCTCTCAGGTCTCTTGAAGTCTCTTATGTTCCTCTTGCTTCTTCAGAGTACTTGTCTCAGTTTGCAATTATGTAGTTGTTTGATTAGCTATTCATATCCCTTACTCTGTAGTACCAGGGAGGATAGGATAACTTAAATTTTAACTTCACTATTTATTATAGACACAGAGTCTGGGATTAAGTGAATGATCATAAAGAGGAAATGAAGAAACGAATGAATGGAAGTGATACCTAGGAGATGAGTTATTTCTGAGATAATGAACGAGGCTGAATGGAGAGTGCTGTTTTTTATTATTAATGATGTAATAGTGGATGATTCAGATGCCACACCTTGAACCTTTAAAACCTAAGGTCATGGAAATGAGTATGTTACCCCACTGGCTGAAGGCCCAGAAAATAAGGCTAGCGACTGGGATGAGGTCAGACATTAGAGTTGTCAGCATTTAAATAAAATTTTAAATTTGACCCTTAGGACCAGTCTGACATCTTGCCTCAAGTTCTTAATTTTCTACACTCTCCCAGTGACAAGGGAGGTGCTCAAATAATGTTTCTAATAAATTGATTAGTATAATAACCAAGACTGGCCCAGGCAATTGGATAGCCATAGCACCTAAGCTGCATTCAAAAGCTGATTAGTGTTTTTCAGATGACAATTAATGACAAATAGAAAATGAGCTTTAAGCCTGACCAGCTGCCTTGAGTACTGCAGAAATCAAGACTTCATTCTGGAGAGGGAGGCACTATTTGCTTAATGAGCTTGTCCTCTCAAATTTCTTTTCACTCTGTCTCTGTGATGTGCTCCTGCCTCCTCCACATTCCCTTTGTCGCGCCTTCAGACTTTTCACTATTGAATGCTTCTTTTAATTTCTTCCTTGCATAGCCCCAACCCTCAAAGTTCTTTTCTTTATCTTCAATTTTATTAGCATTTATTTGCCTGGACACCTAACCTCACTCTTTAATACATCAACTTCTTTGTAGCTTATCAATTCTTTCATTTATTTCCCCAACAAAATTAAATGCTTTCAGTAGTAAAAATGGGTACCCAAGTCTACAGTACTTTACAGAGTATAAGTCTATGTGGCTGCTTCAAGCATAAATGGTCTAACCCCAAAACTAAAATCACTAAAAATCAGAGAAGAAGGGAGTCACCAAGAGCATGGACTTGTCAATTTCTATACTTCATTTTATTTGATTTTTTACTATTACCTAGTATGTATTATATTTGTAGTTAAAATTTAAAATAGTAACAAAACAAAGCAGAGTAGATCTGGGATTTTTACATTTAATAATTTTTTCAAGAACCAAAATACCTGGAAATGCTAGATTAGCTATTTAAACATTTCTTTACATGCTCAACTCACCAGGCAAGAAAATGGTAGAATAGTATTGTTATATAACTTCAGGGGAAATTAGTAACATCAAACCTTTATGTGGTAGCTCTAAAAGAAAATACAGAAATCCTAAATCCAAGTAAAATTTAAATCCTAAGGGGCACAGAACACTGGAACAGACAGCTGCCTCGGGACATTGCCATTCTCTAATGGTTGAAAGTCTCCAGTTTCTGCTCAAAAGTTATAGGAGACAAAATTTAAGACCTCTGAATGGCATAAAAACAAAATCTGCTAGTCAAAAGGAGTTGTTCATATGGCTTTGGGCACAAAGAGAAATATTTGTGCCAAAATTCTAACCCCCAGGGCAGCTCTGGAATACACTTGTGATAAAAACCATCCGTTTATAGTCTGAGAACCTCAAAGCACTATACTATGGTTGTTTCTGTTTCTTCCTAGAATCACACGTTTTTGGCCATATTTTGAGCTATTATTGTTACATATATGCTCATGTGATTCTAGTAACTTCATGCCTTTACCTTGTGTATCTTTAGATAGAAGTATCTTTGTTTCTATGGAAGTTATTTTGTCTTAAAGTTTGTTTGATATTAATACATCCACTAACCTTGTATTTTCTTGCATGTATCTTTTCCATCTCTCTTTTTTCAGTCTTTATTAGCATTGTATTTTTGACATATCTTTTATTAGACATCATATAGTTAGACTTTGTGTGTCTTAGTTACTTTTCCATTGCTGTGAAGAGACACCATGACTGAGTCAACTTATAAAAAAAGGCATTTAACTGGGTACTTGATTACAGTTTCAGAGGGGGAGTCCATGACCATCATGGTGGAGAACATGGCAACAGGCAGGCAGGCATGGTGCTAGAGCAGTAGCTAAAAGCTTTTATCCTAACTTGCAAGTTGAAAGCAGAGAAATAGAACGACTGAGCCTGGTGTGGGCTTTTGAAGCCTCCACCTCCACCACAATGACACATCTCCTTCAACAAGCAGTTACAGCAGGTGGAAGGACCAAGAATTCCAGCAGTCTGAGCCGAAGGGCCTTTCTCCTTCAGATGATCACGTGATGTGTGTCTACATGTGTGTGCTCATTCTTACGCCTGTGAAGGCTAGGGTTTGATCATGGTGTCTTTCTCAATGGCTCTCCACTTTATTTTAATTTTTAAAATTGATTTGCTCAATTTTGTCTGCATGAATGTGTGTCACACGTGTGCCTGGTGCTCTCAGAAGCCAGGAGAGGGCTTTGCATCCCCTGGAACTGGAGTGACCCAGCTGTGAGCCACCTTGCTGGGAACTGAGCCCAGCAAGTGCTCTTGACTGCAGAGCCATCTCTCCAGCTTTCCACTTCCTTTTTGAGACAGGGTCTCATGCATGCCAGGCTGTCTTAAACTCCCTCTGTAACTGTGGGTGGCTGTGAGCACCTCCTGAGTACTGGGTTGTAGGCATGTACCACCATGGCAAGCATATTGCCAGTTTTATAATTTTGCGTTCTAGGGGCAGTTAGTTTTACAATTTTTAAAACTATTTTTATCCGTATCTAATTATCAGCAAATTTCATGATTATATGTCCAAGTATGATTTGTTTTAATTTGTCCTCTTTGGCTCTCGGTGTGCTATTTTAATCTACAGACTTCAGCTATGGAAATTTTCTGGTTTATTACCAGTACTATATGGTTCATTGGCTTTCCCCCATATTCTCTATTTGCGGATGATATTAGGCCATCTGTTTCTAACATCTCTCACGTGTTCTTTTTTTCTCTTTTTCCCATGTCAGATGGATAATGTGCTGACATCATAACAAAATCTGAGGCAACACATCTCACACAGTAGCATGAAAACCCAATCATCACACTGGATGAGTTCATTCACTTAACAGTTTTTTTTTTTTTTTCTTTAGTGTGTCTAATGTATTTATCACGTCCATGAAGTTTTTAGTATTACATGACTGTATTTTTCACTTCTAGGACTTTCCTGCTAATTATTGTTTTAATTGAATTGAGAATTTCAATATGTAGCATTTTGATTATTGTTCAATTGAAATGATTTAAATTTTAATTGTGGTTTCTTTGGTTTATATGAAATTATATTTCTCAATTTCCAAGTATAGTGGAAAGTTTCTAGTTAGTGTTTTTGTTATGAACATGGAGCTATAGCCAGATAAATGCCCTCAATTACTAGTCCTTTGAAATAAGTTTGAGATTTCTCTATATGGTTAGTTTTCTGTTAGGGTTTTGGATGAATGTCCCCTAAAAGCCTGCGCGTTAGAGGGTTGGGCTGCAGGGTAGCCTCTTTGGAGATAGTCAACCCCTGGGGAGGGACACTAATGGGCAGTGGCATTGAGCTAGTCCCTGGAATTGGGTTGTGTCTGCCTGCCCCCTGGCTCCTGAGTTTTGTGTTTATTCCAGTACTTGTGACTTGTGCTCAGCAGAGACGGAGAGCAGTGGGATACCTGATCGTGGACTGGGACATCCGGAATTTTGAATCCAAATATTTCCTCTCTCTTTATAAATTGGCTGTCTCAGATATTTCGTGATAGTAATGTGAAGCTGACTAATACCGTAATATTCTTCTTTTGTAAATGTCCTGAATAAATGTGCCTGAAAAGACTGTGCACTCAGTTCTCCAGGAATGCAGTATCTCCGTCTCACATAACCCCCTTCCTTCCACATATGTTAACACTTGGTGATAGTGCAGAAACAACACTCATTTATGCCAGCCGCAGTTCATGTTGTGAAGTCTGCTCTTCCCTACCCTAGTTAGCAGGATCGGTTCAGCACTCTTGTCAATGCTGAGCAGAAGCAAGCCCAGCTCCCAGTCACAAGGCAGTCACGGGTAACCAGCAGTGTTGTTCAGTCGAATGGGGGCATTAAATACATTTTTAAACTTAGAAGGGGTTTGTTGAAACGTAAGTATCACACGTCAATACCTGTGTGTGCATTATACACACATATATATCCATGTATGTATGATCACATTTATTATGCACACAGTATGTACATAGAGGTACGCATTATGTAAGGTGTCAAACTCCATTCTGTCTAAAACTGTTATAATTTTGTTCTTAACTTCAAAGGGTATTTTCTCTGAATGTGGAATTCTAGATAACCTTTACTTAAACAGTTGAACATGCGTTCTATTGTGCCTTCCTCATGTTCCTTTTGAGATCTGCTATCACTAACTTTGAAAGAACCACCCCCCAGCTAATGTGAAGACTTTCTCCTGAAGTTTCTAGTATTTTGCATGATTATATGTGTAGTTGTGGCCAAGACATATTTTCTTGAAATGTGTTAAACTCATGTAGTCTGAATTTGTTTCTTTCTCCTTTCTAGACTATTCCCAGCAATCTCTCCAATACTGTCTCTGTTGTCTCTCTTTTTCCTGGGGCTCCAACTGACTGTATATGTTGGGCCTTCTTACTCGTTTGTCCTGTGTTTTAGCCTGTTTGCTTAGTTTCTTTTCATGTCACATCCCTGATGGAGTCTGGATAATTATTTATAGCTTGTTTTTCTGTTTATTAATATTACCTCTGCTGTACCAAATCTACTATGGAATCTTTCCATTAAATGTTTAGGCATGGCGTATAATTCTAAATTTTAGAAGTTTTGTTTCTGATTGCTGGAATCTGACCCTCTTTTTTGCAGATGCTTGCTCACTGTGACACTTGCAAGCTGCCTGCGTGCAGGAGAGCTAACGCTGGCACTCCTGGTATAGTCCAACTCCTTCCGCAGCTGTCATTTGCCCGGTGGTGTCTTCCCTCTATTCAATTGTTGTTTGTTTGCTTTTGTTCTTTTGGTGTTTTGAGACAGTCTGGATCTATGGTTCAGGCTGTCCTCGAATCCTTGAACTCACTATGTAGCTCAAGGCCTCTAATTTGGAGACTTCTATTTTGCAGCCATTCCTTAGTGTTAGGATTATAGGCCACTATACCTGACCTACTCATTTAAAAAAAAATCATTTGAGTTCAATAAGGAAATTTCCTTTGTTAAGAAAGGATTGATGCTGTCTTCTGATAGGTGCCTGGAGTTAATTAATAATCCAGGACCATTTCACATGAAGCTCACACTTGACACTTCCCCAATACTCAAGGTTGTCAAACAACATGTGGCTGGCCTGAGCTTGAACTTGTCACTTCTGTTGTGTGCTTTTCACCCATTCTTTGTGGCTCTGTTGTTCAGTTATTGCTCACACAGGTGCCCTTTAACTAGGACCCCAGGTGATAAACTCCCAGGATAAATGTTGAGATGATTCCCGTGTTGGGAAGGGGCTCTTGTCTTGGCATATTTGCTTCTTTCTGTACATAGTTGAATAAACCCAAAGTCAGTTTTACCTATTGTTTGAGTCCCAGCGGGGAGGCTTCAATACCATCCTTCCTTCCCCCGGCTCCCTCTTTCTCAGCTTTTGACATACTGGTTCCTGAGTTTTGTTGCTTTTCTTTTTTTTTTTTTTAATTAAATTTTTATTTCTTTACATTAATTACATTTTATTTGCTCTGTATCCTAGCTGTAGCTTCCTCCCTCATTCCCTTCCAACCCCACCCTCTCTCCCTTATCTCCTCCCATGTCCCTCTCCAAGTCCGCTGATAGAGGAAGTCCTCCTCCCCTTCCAACTGACCCTAGCTTGTCAGGTCTCATCAGGACTGGCTGCATTGTCCTCCTCTGTGGCCTGGCAAGGCTGCTCCCCCATGGGGGGGGGGTTTCAAAGATCCAGCCACTGAGTTTATGTCAGAGACAGTCCCTGTTCCCCTTACTAGGGAATCCACTTGGATACTGACTGAGCTGCCATGGGCTACATCTGAGCAGGGGTTCTAGGTTATATCCATGAATGGTTCTTGGTTGGAGTGTCAGTCTCAGAAAAGACTCCTGTGCTCAGGTATTTTGGTTCTGTTGCTCTTCTTGTGGAGCTCCTGTCCTCTCCAGATCTTACTTTCTTCTACTTCTTTCCTAAGATTTCCTGCACTCTGCCCAAAGTTTGGTTATGAGTCTCAGCATCTGCTTTGATACCTTGCTGAGTAGAGTCTTTCAGAGTCCCTCTGTGATAGGCTCCTTTCCTGTTTCCTGTTTTCTCCTTCCAGTGTCCATCCATTTGTCTTTCTGAGTGAGGATTGATCATCTTACCCAGGGTCCTCCTTGTTTATGAAGCTCAGGCTAGCCTCAGATGTTCCGTCAGTCCCGTTAGCATCCTATATGATAGGAATTTTGTTGCTTTCTTATACTAATTGAGAAGGGGTTTTTGTTGTTGGTTTTTGTTTGTTTGCTTGTTTTTGAGGAAGGTATATAGCAAGACTTTATTTGAAATGCATCAAAAGCAAAACCTTCAAAAATTTTGAAGTTAAAGCAATTATATCATTTACATTTTCCCTCTCTCCTCTCTCCAAACCTTTCCATGCTGCCTGCTCTCTTTATTGAAAGTACTGAAAGATATTCACCATGTTTGTTTTCAAAAGGTGGGTGTGTCTGAATGTTATTGGAAATGGCTATTGGCCGTTGAAAGAAAGAAAGAAACAAAATCCAAATAAACAAAAATCAAAATGCCAGCCAACAGTATTAAATGTTCCTCCCTTTTTACTGTAATGGTCCTAACAGATGCTTTCATTTACTTCTGTTCTTGACAAGCATGATTTCTCTGTGTTTGATCATAAGGCATGATGTTGGCATTTAATTGTATTTGTATTTATGCTTTATCTACTTATGTATATGTGTTTTTATTTACTTAGGTAGGTCTGATAAAGTTGTGTGTGTTGATTTCATCAAGGGCTGCTTAGGAATTTATGGTGATTTTATTTCTTTTTGCCTCTATTAGGATGATCATATAATATATTTCTGAGACTACTTTTTGGTGAACCTACTTATATATTACCTAATAGCGAATCATCCCTACATTAATGAATGTTCTTGGTCATTGTGTTATATATTGCTACTTAACAAATTACTATACTCAGAGGTTGTAAACAATGTATAGATATTTTTTATCACAGTCTCCATGAATCAGGAGTCCACATGATTTAACTGTGTCCTCTGAGGTTTGGTAGCCCAGTGTGTCTCTTGGAGCTTGAGTCTTATGTGCTACTTGACTGGGAAGCATCTTCCTCTGAGCTTGTGTGATTGTGAGCAGAATTCACATTTTTTTTATAGCTTGTCAGACTAGAGGCATGTTTTGTGCTTGGAAGGTTCTCTCAGCTCCTTGTCACATGGCCATCTCAAAACACTGCTCACACCATGGCAGTTTGTTTCTTCAGACAGTAAGTGGGTGGCACAAAGGCTCAGTGAGTGAAAGTGTTTGCTGTGGAAATCTCATGGCCGAAGTTTGATCTCCAGAACCCGGGCTGGAGGAAAGAACCAACTCCTAAATGTTGTCCTTTGCTCATTACATGCATATGCTTTCTTACACACACGTGTACACACACACACACACACACACACACTCTCTCTCTCTCTCTCAAAATTTTTAATTCAAAGACATTTTTTTTAAAAAACCACTAAGGAAGAATATTTCTTAGCAAAAACAGATGTTAGTCTTGTGTCCATGTGTGTCCATGTGTGATGGTATGTGCATGCACGTGCAGTGTGCATGTATGACTATGGGGACCAGTGCTCAGCCTTGAGTGTTATTGCTTAGAAGCTGTCCACCTTGTTTTTTGAAATAGTCTCTCACTGGTTAAGCCAGCGAGCCCCAAGTAGCCTCCTGTCCACAACCCCCCAGCACTAGCATTACAGGTGTATGCTACCACAGTGATATGGTTGTCGGACACCAAATTCAGGTCCTCCTGCTTGTGTGACAGTAACTAGATGCTAGTCTTTGTAGGATAATCACATACAGTAACATCTATCTTGTCCCCTTTACTACATTCTGTTGGTTAGAGGCAAGTCAAACATTCATAC